AGCCCTTGTTATTTATAATGTAAATATTTTTATTCTTTTGATTAGTTTAAATTTCAACTTGCCAACTACCAACCACAAACTTCCACATGCCAAACCTTCTCTTAGAACTTAAGAATAACTATTGTTATTATTATTATTATTATTATTATTGTTATTTTGGCCATTTATGTTAGTTGAATTATAAAAATTCAAGTTGAAATAGAAGGAAAATAAAATAGTAGCCTTAAATCAACACTACCTATTTCTTTATATATATAGATATATATAAACCTATTTCTACATTTTTTTTTTCTTCATCTCTGAATCTCTTTTACCATTTAGGCTTAAGCTGCCTTTGAACCCAAGACCTTTGGGCCAGGGAACTAAATTCCCAGCCCACGGGCCTTTGGGTTTTTTCGGCCTTCAACAAAACTATGAGGTTGGTCCTTGGAGACGAGCTTTTTGGGCTTTATTTAATTCATGTGCACGTGGGACCCAAATCATTGTCTTTAGTTTCTTCACAATTTCACATGTGCCCCTCCTTTAGGCCAATATTTTTAGAATCAATAAAACATGAAAAATGGAAAATGAAAGTGGAAACTTTATACTCCATTCTTTTATTTTAGTTCTCCCACTTTTTACTCTACATACATTTAAAAAATTTAAGATTGATTAAAATTTTATAACTAAGTGTTAAGATAACAAAATTTTTAATGTAAAGTATAAATTTTTATTACTTAAAATATAATGATACAAAAGCTTATATCTTACTTAAAAAAAGCCACTAAGTGATTACATTTATAATAAATAAGACAATCAAACAATGAACAATCACACGATTTTAACTAACAAATCATTTTTTTATCTCTATAAATAAACTTAAATAATAGAAATAAAATTAAAAAATTAGTAGTTAATACCTTATTTAAATTAAAGATAATACAACTAAATTAAAACACTTAAATTTAATAAATGAGACAACGGAAATGAAATAGATGGAGTACTATTTTTTAAACTAAAACATATTCAAAAGTAATGATAATGATAATTTCGTCAAATAAAGTGTTTGTTTTTTAAATTACTAAAAATTACTAAAAATGTAAGATAAATAGAAGGAAAATATATCATAAGAAGAGCATGCACCAATTCCCCTTTTAAGTATTATTTAATTTGAAAAAAAATGAAGTTCTATTTCTATTCCCCTTTTTAACTAATTTTTTCTTAATTAAATAAAGAAAATGTCTCCCTCTCCTCAAATGAAATAAACTATATAAAAGAAGACTTAGGGGAATACGTAATGAAGACGAAGCAGAGAGAATAGGATACCGATACTCCCTAGGGAAAACAAAGATGGTTAAGCAAAATGCACCGTTGATGATTTTATGTAGCTTCGGCATGCATCATGCATATTTAACTGTGAGCACACTACATCTGAGCACACTGCAACAGAACCCTCACATTCATCATCCAGAATCTTGTTGGAGAACCAGTGGCTTCAAATAATGAGAAATCAGAAACTGGACTGGAAAAATCTGCAGTTGTTCCCAATAAGAAGAGCTGGGCAGATATGGTTGAAGAAGAAGAAGAAATGTTAAGTGCAAAAGGTCCAAGCAGAAAGTTTGATGGTTTTAACTGTGAAGAGGAATTCAATGATGAAAATCTGAATTCAAACATAATTTACCAGAAGCCTCTTTCGCAGAATCAGATTGGAACTGTGAGGCAGATGCTTGAATCACTTGATATTAAAGGAGGAAAGAGTGCACCTCTGAATGCTGTTTCTTCAAGGAGAAACAGGTAGCCGGTTTTCCAGGACATAACCATTCTTTCTGAGAGTCCATGAATGAGAATGTTTGCGTAGTATATACAGTGCCAGCATACCACATTTGATACATAGCCTTAAATGCATTGGTTTGTGGGTACCATTTTGATTGTATTCATTAATCATCAATTGGTCATATATTGTATACAATGATTTGTAACTAATAGACAATGAATACATACATTTGTTTCAATGATTGAGTGCCCTTACTCTGTCCTTGTTTATCTCGATTTATTATCATAGAAAGGAAAGGAAGAAAGTGAGCCATGAAAATTCCTGAAGCCTTTATATTTTTTTCAAGGTACGCAGTGGTTTTGGTTATTTGGCCAGAACTAGAAGGAAAAAAAGAAAGAAAGAAGTCCTTCTAATCGTATTTATAGAATAATCATAAGGGGTTAAAATGCTAATAAATTAAACTTTGGGGTCTAACAACTAGCAACAAGTTAAAAGAATAATAATAAAAATAAAATA